AAAAAAAAAAGGAAATTGGGAGAACTTTGCTATTGGATTGTTTACCACCAATTTCAGAGGCTTTTTTTTTTTTTTTAAATGAGAAAACTGTACCACAGTTAGCATGACTGGTACTGCAGTTCTTAGCTTTTTCCTTCCCAAACATTCTGGCTAGGAATAGCCATAAAGAGAGGACTAGAGTAAGGGGGACCAAGTATCTTCCCATACTTAATGCTCAGGTAATGAATCAGACCCAGGCTCCCTGGGCTCCAGGACTCCAATCAGCTAGAGCTGTGCTTATGCTAATAGTTTCCCATTTACCTGCTTGTTCAAGACAAAAGGTCATGAGATGCACTTACTCTGCTCTCATGGACACAGAATAAACCCTGATATCTTGTAGGGCACGAGAAGAAAAAGATAAACGCATGGAACTTTCAAGTTTGTGTTCACCATCTAATTTACACACGCATACACATACACTCACACTCCCCAACAGTATTTCTACTCATTTTAATGATTCTTCCCAAATCTATTAGTAGTTGTTCTTCCTGGGATTAGAATTTGAGATTTTCCCCCGTGGCTCCATTCTCTTGTTTAATAATATCTACTTTCTATTCCAGGTCACCAGTACATTCTTATTGACAAATCACTTTTTCTCCTTCTCCCTACCAAGTCTTTTGCTGTAAAGCATTTGCAGTAAATTCCTGCATTAAAATGATAGTGTCTGACTGGAGACATGACTCAGTAAAAAACCATTTACCTAGCAAGGCTGAGGCCCTGGGTATCCCCAGCACCACTAAAGAAAACAAAACAAAACAAAACAGAGAGGAAGAAGAGAAATGTGAGCCTGAATATGCTTTTAATACCCATGTACACAATCTAAAGAAAAGTGGCATTCTTTTAAAGTGATAGAGGAAAAAGACATCAAATGATGCATTGTTACCAGAAAAATAAATAAAATTGTGAGGAAAAAGAAGTGAACAAGGAATCAGAAGAGATATTTTTATCCATCTTTAGCTACCAGCCACCCCGGATTTCATGGATGACTCTTTTAATCGCCAAGCCCCAATTTTCTGATCTGTTAAAGGGAAATATACTGGCCATCCTTGACTCAGAAGCTCATTGATCACTGAACACTTTGGAAAAGGCTATACTATACAATGATGATGTTTTAAAGAAGTAGTTTGCCTTCAAGTGATGCGATGGGGTAAAGCTCTCTCTCTCTCTCTCTCTCTCTCTCTCTCTCTCTCTCTCTCTCTCTTCTCTCTCTCTGGCTCTTATCTTTACCTCAGGCAATGTTTTCTCAGTAAGTCTATTGTTTAAGAAAAGAAAAGAAAAAGCCCACTGCTGCATTCATAGAATCATAGAATTCAGACCAAGAAGGATTTTTAGGATTTATCCCCTTATTGGGAAAATAGGGAAACAAGAAGATTAAATGTAACCCAGATCACACCACTTATCTATCACTGGAACTCACAGGTGACGTTTCCATCCATCCCTCCCTGGGCTCACTTACCTAAAGACGCAACCAGAAACCAAAGGAAGATCGGAAGCTGAGGTCGCCTCGGGTACAGTTGCTATATTTGATAAGTGTACTGAGTATGCAGTGTCGTCTCACAATTTGTTAACACAATTTCAAATTCCAAATATCAACAGATCCCTGCCAGCATTTCCGAGCAACAAAAATACCATTTGTTAGGACCTTTTCCACGTAGGTGGGACTCAAAACCATTAATCGAACGATTGAAAACAGAAAAAAAAAAAATCAGAGTCTGGGAGATGAAATCTGTTAAGGAAAGCCGAGTTCATCTCTGCCTGGAATAGCAGATTGGGGGAGGGGGTACGCGAAGGAGGACGCGGTAACAAACGGTTCCCGGAAACGCGCGGTCGGTCGCTCCCAGTTTTGCCCGGAAAGCCCTTTATTATCTGAAGAGTCTGCAAGCTCAGTAAGAGAATAGAGTCCCACGGGGAAAAGAGCGGTAAGGCGCAGGGCAATACGACCCTGGCCCTACCTCAATGGTCCCAAACAAGTGTGCGCCCGAAGCCCCGTCAGCCTCAACAGTCAAGCTGATGAATCGTTTTCGTCCTTAGCTTTAACCTTGCTAAAACTCTGCACTCCCTAAAATGCACTGAGCATAAGCACTTCCACACACAACCCGAGGAACACTCACTTACAAAATATCAGTAGCCCGTGGGACATGGAAGAGTTGCGGGACAGGAGTGCAACAAGTTCAGGAAGCAGAAAATTGTTCTACAGATTTTTCTCTGCTCAAGTTTCCCTCCGCGCGCGAGCGCCACTCGGTGCGGAGGAGGGAGGACGAAAAGGCATCTACGCCCGGGGCCACGCGCTCAGGACCTGTGCCAGGAAGCACTTCTGCGAGCTCCGGAGAGGACAGGGCCGGAGAGGATGGAAGCGCCCTCCGGAGGAGGGAGTCGCCTCGGCCTCTGAGTGAGAGACGGTGCGGAGGCCCGGGAGATCAGGGACCAGCAGCGCGTCCGTGCAAGCCCGGGACCTTTCGACAATCAGGTTGTGGCTCGACTGCATCCCCGCTGAGCCGAAGGCCGAGAACTCCTGGTCTATTTCCGGCGACCAACTGAACTGCTTTAGGAAGGGCAAAGGGTCCGGGTGGAGAAGCCGCAGAGCCCGCACGTCAGAGCTGCGGGCCGGTGGCTGAGCTGGGAGGGAGGAGGGGTTCTGCGTTTGTGGCGGAGGAAACCCACCCCACCGCCACCGCTCCGGGTTAGAGCGCGCGGGTTCCCGGTTCCGAGAGGCCGCGGCTCTGGGCGCCCCCGCAGCGGGAGACGCGCGGCGCAGGACGGCGTGGACTCGGGCGCGCTCTCTCCCCGGGCAGGGACCGGGCGGGAGCAGGGAGAGGCCCGCGCCAGGCCGAGCCGCCGGCCGCGGGGGCTCCAGGCCGGCTGGAGGGCTGACAGGTCGGGGAGCTTGTTGTCTTCCAGGAGCTGAGCAGTGAGGTCCGAATCCGAGTCTTCCGGCCCGGGAGAGCCGCGCCTGAGGCGGCGGCCTCCCCTCCCAACCCCCTCCCCGACCTGGAGACTCAGAGCACGTGCGGCCCCGAGCTGAGCTCCCCCTCGTCCCCGATGTCCACCTCGTCCTCTGGCTCGGTCAGCACGAAGGAGCCGGCGGGCAGGCTCAGCCGAGCCTCTGCGACGGCGGCCTCGGGAGCGCGGGGACTGCCCTCGGGGCTCTCGGGCCCTTCCGGAGCTTTGGGCTCGTCTTGACTTTTCCTCAGTTGCTTTTTATGCTTCATCCGCCGGTTCTGGAACCACGTCTTCACCTGATTTGGGGGAGACAGAGATAAAATCACGTCATTCTTCCAGACCCGTATTACTGAGACCTGAGCGATTGCTGGGCCTAAGGAAAATGTACCGCAACCCACAGATGAATTATCCAAGAACTGTGATCGCCTAACTCTTGGGTAAAATCACGTGAAGTGCTCACAAATGACAGTCTTGGGCTGAATGAGAGTCGAACATCCTAAGACTCCCAGCGGTAATTGTCCCAAAATAATGATGCGGATCAAAATGGCGTGGTTAGTAATCACCAATACTGTGATTATTAGGGTCACTAATAGTAAGTGCTGCGTGGAAGAGTCTTCCCTATGCCCAGTTCGTGTCCTTCTGATGGAGACGTCTAAATGCCTGGTCCAGCACGACCCCCGGACAGGAAGGTGAGGATTGAACTGGCTGATTTTTACTGGTGTGAAAACCAGACTTATTCCTCGTGTACTAATGATCTCAATGCAAGTTGCTTTTCTGGGCAAAGGATAAGAGACAAAGGGAGTAGAGGATGGAGTTCTGGGGCTGCAGGTGAATAGTGCCTGGAGCAAGATTGAAATATTCTTCCATTTCTGAGAGGGCACAGAGAGGAGGCCAAAACTGGGAACTGTCCTGTGTGTTGGGGAGGGCGTGGATGTGAAGACTGGCAGTGCGAGGGAGAATGGAAGGGGGAGAGGGTCTGGGGTGGGGGGAACCAAAGAACCAGTCCAATCTCTTGTTAGTTTACCTCTGACCCGGGTTACATCTTGAGTTGAAGGGTAGTTAAGGAGGAGTAGAAATAATAGTTCTTAACCCCGAAGTGATCATTAAAATCACCTGAGAAAGTTTTCCTTCTTGTATAGCCTCGCTGGAAAAATTTTGTTTCGGAAAGCTAAGCTTGGAGTATCAGTACTTTTAGTAAGGGTCTTAGGGAAAGCCAGGGAAGAGAGGGGTCTTTCTCTCGGAAAGAGTTTCTCATGGTTTGCGCAGTGTTAAGAGCGGAAAGGAGAAAAGAGAGAAGCGGAATTGGGGCTCCCCCTCCTCGCCCACCTGCGTCTCGGACAGACTGAGGGCGGTGGCCAGCTCCACCCGCTCAGGCGTGGACAGGTAGCGCTGGATCTCGAACCTCTTCTCCAGGCCGGAGAGCTGTGAGTCAGAAAACACCGTGCGAGCTTTGCGGCGGCGGCAGTGCTTCCCCGGCAGCTCCGCGTGCTGGGGGTGTGGGAACAGCGCGGGCACCGGCACTCCTGCGAGAGAGAAGGGGAGCCCAGTGGGCAGAGTTCGGGTCGCCAGGAAGCAACCTCGCCCACTCCCCCCTACACCTAGCGCTTCCGACAGAGCCCAACGCCTCCCTGGGCCTTGGCCTCTGGCCTCCTCCACCAGTCTCCTGCCTGCTCCGAAGATCCCAGATCCCTTCTCCAGAGAATCCCAGGACAGGGAGGGTAAAGCTGCAAAACTGCGCTTAGAGATCTTTTTTTCCAGAAGACCATCTAGAAATACAAATAATAAAGAGCAAGTAAAATGGAAACGAAAATTAGAAAATAGATCCAGAGGCCTTTCAAAAGTCTTCAGCCCGGTGCACGACAGTAATCCAGCACTTGGGAAACTGAAGCAGGCAGGATCGTGAGTTCAAGGTCAGTCCGGACTACATAGTGAGACCCTGTCTCAAAAAACAAAAAAATCAAACAAGTCCTTAGGGAGAGCTCTGCGGGGCTTGCTGCGCTCAGTCTTCTCTTGTGCCTCTGGAAATTTTCTTGCCAGCATCAGGGTCGGGAAGCTGTCCACCCTTATCTGTCCAGACCCCTGATGACTCTCAGTGCTGTTCCGAGTCTAGTGGGAGAGAAGAGATATGATCTTGCTCTCTGCACTCACCTTAACACACACACCCCAGCCACCCTATCCTTCTGCAAAAGAAAACTGCAAAATTTTTGTCCAGAGAAGTTCTGGAGCTCACCTCTCAAGTTTCCTTGGCCGGTTCACAATCACACTGGATACCTACTCTCTAAGCTGGTTTTCATTCTTTCCCTCTGACTCCAAGCCCAGTGGAGCAGAAAGCCTTTTTCCTGGCTGGATCAAGATAGACTTCCCTTGTTCCCCAACCCTGTCTGGCTTTGCTCAGTGTCTGAGATGCACCAAGTTAGCAGAGGCTGCCACAGGCTCCATCTACCAATCCCAGAGAAAAAATGAAGACAGAAACAACAGTAACAGAGGAGTAATTTGGCCATTGCTATGTCTGACCTGAGTCAGTGCAGCAGAGAAGACAGTCACTAGCCGGGTGGTGAAGCCAGTGAGAGATGCAGACCTCAACACAGGCTTTGGAACCCACTCTCCAACGCAGCAGCCCAGGATCTGGTTTACACTGCTTCATAAATGCTTTTAGCTTTTGTTCTAGATTCCAGAATCTAGATCCTCACATTTCACAAATTGCCTTCTGCCTTTCCCCAGCTCCTGTACCTACCAGAGTTGTTTCCATTGCTTCACTCAGCAACCAACTAAACAAATTACTCCATTCTATTCTGGCTGAAATAAAAGTGCCAGGGAAGAAAGCATGGATGTGACCTTTCCAAGAAAGACAGTAAAAAAAATAATCTAGGTATTTCCTTACATCTCAGTGACCCCCACTTGCTGATCCACACTCCATTAGCACCTGCCTCCAGTGATCCTGGTGGCTGGTGCAGAGGTGGGCAGCCTAACCTATGATCCTGAGTTGAAATGCCAAACTTTGGGAGTGAAGGGAGCTAAAGAGCTGCATCTCTTTCTTTGTTTATTACCCTTTCTGTCCTTATTTGGGCAGTCCAAACCTTTCTTTCTCAGATTATCCCAAACCCCTATTCACATCTATGACTTTCACAGGATTCCCCGATGCCCAGCCCTGGAAGAAGAGAGCTGGCCAAGCAGAGCTGGAAAGTTGAGTTTGAGTCCATGAGGTGGGGTCATCATGGGTCTTTCTGTGAGTGGTGAGATAGTAAGAATCAGAATTGGGACTGAGCGATAAACCAAAGTGGCCAGGAACATCACCGATCAGAGTGAGCGCTGCCCTTTAAGAACATCGCCAAACCATCCACCCCCAGCTGCCTCTTGGCCAGATGCATCTCTGTCATAAAAAGTGCAGAGTGACCTCGAATTTTCCTCATGGACTGCCATGCTTCAAGGAAGCTCTGAGTGCTCAGGGCCATACCCTAAACCTTCTACTGCCACTTAAGGAGGGATGCCACCATGCCAGGCCAAGATAGAGCTGGGGTTTCCTTTGCTCCATCACAGGCTTAATGTCTTGCTAGAAGATCTGCTTTCTCCCTTCCAACACCGAACACCGCGAGGGCCCTGCTACTTACCGGAGGTGGTGAGAAAATAAGGGTGGTGGTGGTCTCCTTTATGCAGAGGGTGATGGGCGTGAGGAGCCAGGAGGGTGGGTGTGGGCATGAGTGGGTAGCCATAGTCTAGTAGAGGCACCCGAGAGGCCAGAGAGCTAGCGAAATGGTCGGGGGCCACCTCCCTCAGCGGCTTGGGCTTGTGCAGCAGGATGTCCTCGATGAAGAAAGATGTGGGCCTCTGAGAAGAGGCCGGATGTAGAGGGGAGGTGAAGTTGAGATTCATCTTGAGCGCCTGCCACAGGACGCGGGCTGGAACGAAGTGTAGAAAGCGGGCAGCGTGTTCAGCAAGCCTGGTTGAGAGCCGACAACCACTCTCAGAGGCTCAGATCGCCACTGCTCTCTCCGCGGCCTGGGCTATCCCGGGCGCTGGAGAGGCAAGAAGACAAGCTTCTGGGTAGGTTGGGTCTACATGTTAGAGAATTGGCAGCTTCGAGAGGGGAGCCGGGAGAGCCAATGGCGAGGCTGCCAGAGGCAGAGGGGGGAGGGTGCGGTGGGCTCTGGGCGGGATCTGTCCGCGGTGCTGAAGGTTCCTGGCCAAGCCTGGGGAGAGCGTAGCAGACTGGGTTCGGATTGCTACCAGGCTGCTAGACCTTAGTTTCTGCCCCTCCACTGCAAGAGCTGCTTTGTTCCCAGTTGTTTTAAAAGGAAGCTAATTGGGGAAAGTGTCTGTTGTCCAACAAACTCCTTTTTAGAAGACACTAAACAAGGCCTCAAAGCAATAGGGAGAAAACACTTATTCAGGCGTTTGGGCCTATGTTTTTAAGAGTTTCAATAACTGATAGCAAAAGGAGGTGAGAAAGTGAATAGAAAGAGTGCCCACTACTACTTTAAATAGCTAAAGTTGGCTTAAATTGATGGAAGGGATTGCTGGATTCTTGAAGTAAAATTTACAAACCGATGATGATCATAACATTCTTTGCCTGTCACAAGGAGTGGGTAGGAGGAGATTTATATCTACATCAGTCAAGTAATTTAGTCATTTAAATATATCCACAGCCACCTTAGCACTATCCTCCGTGCTCCTTCCAATGTCCATTTCTCACTCCTCATTTCATTCACGTGGTTTACTATACCTGCTCTGTCACTCCTTCCATTCCTAGCTCCCTAAATAATTGTACTAGGATTTGTCTCCTGTTCCTTTTCCCAGCCTCTTTCCTTTCATTTTTCCCCTTCCAATCTTTTGTTTCTTTTTTCCTTTTCCTGTTTGTCTTTTTCTAATCTGTCACATTTATTCCCTTGGAGTCAATTTGCTGAAATTAAGGTGATCATCTACAATACAGCAGAGGTAATTTTGGCTTGCATTTCTGAAAATTGCTCTAATTATTGATGTTAAACTCAGGGAAATTAAAAGAAGCCACTTCTCTTCCATCTCCCAATTTTTAAGCTCTAATTTGTCGAAATCTAGTCGTCATCACAATTCCAATCACTACCGCTAATAGCAAAAGTGTTTTAATAGAGACTGAGTCCTCACAACCCATGCTATTAGATAATTAGAGGAGGTATTAGAAAGCCAAGTGCTAATCTGTGGGTAAGGGGTAGGATTTCCATCTGATCTAGCAGGTAGCACAAATTAATTACCAAAATCAGTTAGGCCCCAAACTACAGTGCTCCAGGAAGTGGAAGCATTATATATACAGATGGATTGGTAAATAGTAAATAGATGTGGTTGGAGAAAGCAAGATGGGGAAGATTTTAAAATAAGACAGTGGTAAGTAGGTATCTAAAGGAAGCTTTGTCTTAGAGTTGGAAATGTGATTTAAAAAGAAAAGTTTACAATGGCAAGACTGGGGAAGTGTTGGACACAGAGAAGGGAGACAGTAGACTTGCCAGTAGTTGATCTCAACTGTTAGAAACTCTGGTCCAGTTCTCTTCTACAAGGCTGGAAGGACAGGAGGAAACTGGCGAAGAAGGTCTGGGGCAACAGTCCACAGATGTCCTCCCTGCCCCACTGTAAGCAAGTGTAAACCTAGCCATACTGTTTCCCAATACCCTAAAGACTGAGTGGCTGTTGAGGACCAGGGCATGTGTACAGCCAGGCGTTGGCTTGTGCCTGTGCACACTCTACACACGCTCCCACACTCCACACTGCGCACACTCCCACACAAAAACCACAGATTTACACCCAGCGGGATTTTAGCTTCACTGGGGCAGGTACTAACTTCTGCAGCAGAAGCAGACTGGAAGAGATTATTGAAAGGCTCTTTGGGAGCAGGAGCAGTAACAGCGTCTTTGGGCGCTAATCTCTCAGCCAAAGCACCGCAAACCCTCCCTTCCACCTCTCCCGTGGGGGGAGGGGGGTCCGAGGGAGGGAAGGGGAGTGAATGGTGGTGTCCTTGGTCCGTGTCCTCTTATTTAGTGTACCCTGAGCTCAGCGCTCTCGCCCCAAAAAGCTAAGGCTCTCTCCCAAGTCCTTGCTCCCCGACTGCAAAGTCCAGAGCGGAAGTCCACGCAGGGACCGGGATTTCTGAGAGCCGAGCAGCCGGGAGAAAGACTTGAAGGCGTTTTCCTCCAGAATCCAGCCTCTCCACCTCTGCCGAGGCTCCAGGAGGAGCCTAAGAAGTGAATGAAGGAGGGAGGGTCGCTGCAGAAAGGGGCAGGGCCTGGAGATCGCAGGCGTTTCCTTGCCCTGGCCCTTTCCCTTCCAGCGAGGCAGGGAAACAAAGCTCAGCGGAAGGAGAGTACAACCGCAGCCGGCCGGACCCGAGCAGGTCCCTAGGGGCTCAGAGGAGCACTCCTGGGGCAGGCTTAAAGGGTGATTCCGCAGCTATCCAGACAGAGACAGACAGACAGAGACTGAGAGACTCACAGATACATCACAGCCGGCATTTGCCACGGACCCACGGACGGGCCGTGCGGGTGGTTCATTTAGACCTCTGTCCCAGGCCCTCCGGAAAATAGCGAGGCGGAGAGAGCCGGAAAGTTTCTGTGCATTGGCCAGGCTCCAGAGCAGAACGCGAAGGGGAGCGGTAGGGTTGCCAGAACCAGCCCATACTTTGCAAAGAGCCCTGACCTGGCCCATACTTCTTCTGAGGTGGGTGAATGTGGCCCCAGGCCCAGGCCCTCAGTGCAAGTCCTGGTGTGTCTTAGGGTAGGAGGAAGAATTAATTCAGTGATTCCCATCCAGCCGCATCCCCTCTCCCCCGCCCCAGTGAAGCCAGCTGGGAAAGGAGGGTGTGTGTGTGTGTGTGTGTGTGTGTGTGTGTGTGGTCAATCTTATTTTTTAGACCCGGATAAAAACTGTCATCTGTAGGGGAGGTGAGTGGGGAAACATGTTTCTCTGTGTTAAAAGCAGTGATATTTCATTATCTGAATTATTTCTCAAGTCTAGACCAGCACTGGCCAATAAAAATATAATGGAACTCATATAGATACTTTTAAATTTTCTACTGGTCAAATTTTTTAAAAACTGTAAGTCACATTTTACAAGTAGGGAGAAACTGTTGAAATATTATGTATTTCACTTAATTCTAATATATCAGAAATATTATTCAATATGTAATCAATATAAATATTATCTGCATTTCCTTTTTCAAACTTAAGTCTTCAGAAGTCAGTGTAATTTACCCTTCTTGCACATTTCAACTTACACTAGTCATATTTTATGTGCAGTGCAGACACACTCAGCTTATGTCTACTGCGCAGTGCACATGTAGTTAATCACTCTAGTCTCTATTACTGCTTTTGAATGTAGGCAGACACACAGAAAATGAGAAACGGTTGCTGAAAGCAGCCTAGCTCATTCTCAGTGTTTTGCCCCTTCATCCCTCATATTTAATTATTCTGAACTTTCAGTGAGCATCTACTATATACCAGGCTCCTTACCACACAAACTCTCCCCAAGCCCTAGGAGGTTAAATAAATGCACTCACATTGCATTTATTTTTTATCCTCATTTGACTAAATAAAATCTGTCACCAGGGCCAGCAGGAGTCATCTGTAAAGCGAGCTCCTACCTACAGCCCAATCCTACATACTGCCCAGAGTGAAAAAATAAAGATCAAATGAATTTCCTCCCCCTCAGCATCTAAAAGATCTGATGGCACTTCTGCTTGTGGTTTCAGCTGAAGAATTATTAATTTAAAGAGAGAAAAGACATGTTTTTCAGGGAACTAATAATTAAACAGGCCGTGTTTCATGTCAGCCTCAGCTAAAACTGTCATCCAGGCTGAGACTTAGTTTCCCGAAAAGATATCCTGATTGATGATCAAAGGAAGAGACTGGATCCATTAGCCAAGCTGCCTAGACTGTGGCCTTCAAAATAAAGGGAGAAATGTATTTTAGAAGGATCTGAGTAACACACTTTACTCATAACATTTTGTATTATATTGCTTGTTGTCTGTTTCAACTTCCCTTCTATCTGAGTACTTTATTTTAAGCACTACCAAAGTGGATGACACATCCACAGAAAGAAACTGCAGTTGCTGGCTGCTCCTAGCAAATGCATCTTCAAAAATAAGGCTTTTGCACTGCAAATTAGGGTACAAACCCACATGAAAACACATTCAAGAATGTGATATTCAGATCACAGGATTTTTAATATAAAAAGGACTAAATCCACCCAATTTATTCATTTCGGCAGGGTCAGTCTCCTGAAGTTCTTTATGCTTCCTTTGGCATTTCAGTTATTAAAAAATTTTCATAAAGTGATAGAGAAAAAGGAAGACCTGGAATGAAGGCTTAGGAGTTTGAAATAAGAGAGATCCTATAGCATTTTTGAATTCTGAAAAATCTATGGTAGAATGATGATGGTCTTTAATCAGTCTCTTAATAGCATTCCACCATTTTCCCTATCAAGTCCTGAAAGAGTAGCCAAATTATTACCTGGAAAAAAAAGTGCAATAAGCCAAAACAAATGCCTTTTAAATGTCCTTTCCTCCCACTCTACGGCATCATAATTCTATGATTAGATTTGAAACAACAAACTTCAAATAATACCTAATTAGGCTGGGCATGGTGGCACATGTCTCTAATTCCAGCACTCTGTGAGGCTGAGGCAGAAGGATTGCAAGAAAAATAAACTGGGAGGAAGTGTTTGCTCAATAAGTAGCACCACTGCTAGGGTCGGGGATTTAGCTCAGTGGTTCTGCTGCCTGCCTCGCAAGTGCAAGGTCCCGAATTCGATCTCTGGTACCCGCCCCCCCAAAGTAGCACCACTGCTGTGGTCACTATTGGTGGTGACTGTGGGGTGACTGTGGGGTGATAGTGGCGGTGGTATTGGTGGTGATGGTAGTGACAGTGGTGATGGTGGCCCGACCATCTGATAAAAATGAGCCCAAATGACCAAGACTAAAATGCCAGGTATGGACATGAGAAATTAATGAAACTACTACATGCCATGCTGCTCTGTAAAAGTAGGCATATCTAATTCTAGATGCAGTTTATGGTAAGAAGGAAGATTGTTTTAAAATAAGAAAGTATTGAGAAGGAGAAATGAGGCTAGGCATGGTGGCATATGCTTGTAGTCCCAGAACTTGGGAAGCTGAGGCAGGAGGATTGCCTTGAGTTTGAGGCCAGCCTAGGCTACATAGTGAATTCAAAACCAGCCTGAGCTGCATAGCAAGACCCTGCCTCAAAAAAAAAAATTGCATTAGAAAACAAGATCAATGCCAAGTCTGTTTTTTTTTGGAATAGGGAAGGTGAAAAGCTAAGTCAATGAATGTTTATTGAATGTCTACCATGTACTCAGTTTTGAGTGAAGTAGCTTAAAGAGATAAGGTAGAAAAGTGCAAGGTACAAAGAAATATAAGAAAAGTAGAAGCCTCACATCTGTTGCAAATACATACACACCTAAAATATGCAAAACTAACAAAAATAAACTGCAGGGCTTCTCTGTGCATTTTACTCAATTAGTAAAATCACTTCCTCATGAAGGTGATGTAGACTCATTTGTCTCTGTGATTCAGATATGAAAACATGGAGACAGGAAATCCAAGAGCGCTGTGGTTTATGCAGCTCATATCCACAGTAACTGGAGATCTATCTTGTGAAAAGATGAGCATGCATCTTCTCCCCACGTTTAGGTCAAGGATTGAACTGCATTTACTGTAACTCCAGTGTTTTTGGAGGCACGGTTTTGTATTTTCCTAAACTTGATATAAATACTTTTATAATTGGGTGCCATATTATTTAACAGTTCCAAGTAAAAAAAAAAATTTAATATTGTGTCCAAGTTCCTCCCTATTGGCTGGAAGGCAAGTAGCTCCTCAAGATGATATAGAAAGGGGATGTTGGGTTTTGTTTTCCTTTTAACACCATGTGCTTTTATAGAGAAAAGAAGAAATAATAGGCTGGTGAATTTGGGGAAAAGTTTTTAAAACTTTGCCTCCACTTTATACTCTAGAGTCTTAGATTATCTGTTATTATATAACCTATAAATTATTATTAGAAAAGTTTGAAGTTTTGAATTTCTTTCAAAAATTGCTTTCATCTGTCTCCTTTCTGGAACCATCATTTCTATACTTCTCCATCTACATAAATAATCTACATACAAATCTAAATCTAGTTCATTCCATTCTGCTCCAGAAAAGCACCCTTGTTTACAATATCTAGTCATCAGGGTATTAATAGATGTACAACTCACCGGGCTTTTGGCATGGGCTAAATACTACATTAATATGTTTATCTCTCTTCATGACAGACTTTTGTTATCCCAACTAGACCGTGCATTATGTTTTTCTATAATACATTCAAATAACTCAAAAATCAAAACCTATAAAGTTGTACAGTGAAAAAATCTTGCCCTTTCTCTCTTTTCCAGCCACCCAATTCTCCCTTAGAACATGACCAATTATCACTTTTTTGGGTATCCTTACAAGG